CCGGTGCTGCAGGCAGAGGATTAACCAAGTGAGCCACGGTGCTGGCCCCCGCTTCATAGTAATTTCTTATTATCCTTTGTATTTCAGTGGTGTCAGTTGTAATTTTCTTTTTAATCTCTAATTTTATTTATTTGAATTTTTTCTCTTTTTTTCTTTGTTACTGTGTCTAGAGGTTTACCTACTTGTTTATATTCTCAAAGATCCAACTTTTTGTTTGGTTGATCTGTTGTATATTTTGGTTTCAATATCATTTATTTCTCCTCTGATCATTATCATTTCTCACTTCTTGCTGATTTGGGGTTTGGTTTGTTCTTGTTTTTCTAAGTCTTCAATATGCATCTTTAGATCTTTACTTTGAGACATTTCTGCTTTTTAATATAAACATTTAATGCTATACAATTGTCTCAATACTGCTTTTGCTGTATCCTATAGGTTTTCTCTCTCTCTCTCTCTCTCTCTCTCTCTCTTTTTTTCGACAGGCAGAGTGGACAGTGTGAGAGAGAAACAGAGAGAAAGATATTCTTTTGCCGTTGGTTCACCCTCCAATGGCTGCCGCAGCTGGTGTGCTGCAGCCGGCGCACCGCACCAATCCAAAGCCAGGAGCCAGGTGCTTCTCCTGGTCTCCCATGCAAGTGCTGGGCCCAAGAACTTGGGCCATCCTCCACTGCACTCCCTGGCCACAGCAGAGAGCTGGCCTGAAAGAGGGACAACCAGGACAAAATCCGGTGCCCCGACCTGGACTAGAACCTGGTGTGCTGGCGCCGCATGCGGAGGATTAGCCTATTGAGCCATGGTGCCGGCCAGGTTTTAATATGTTGTATTTTCTTTTCATTTGTTTCAAGAAAGTTTTTATTTCCTTTTTAATTTCTTCAATGACCCATTGATTGTTTAGTAGCATGTTGTTTGATTTCCAACTATTTATGAGTGTTCTATTCTTCTTTTTGTTGATTTCTAATTTTATTCCTTTATGGTCTGAGAAGATACATGGTATGATTTCAGTCTTTTTAAATTTGCTGAGGCTTGATATGTGCCCTAATATGTGGTCTATCCTAGAAAATGTGCTGATGAGAAGAATGTGTATTCTGTAGCCATTGGGTGAAATGACCTGTAAATGTCTGTTAAATCCATTTGTTCAATAGTATGTTTCAACTCTGATGTATCTTTATTGATTTTCTGTCTGAATGACCTGTCCATTGATGCTGGTGGAGTATTGGTCACCCACTATTATTGCATTGGCTCTATCTCTCCCTTTAGGTCTAATAGGGTCTGTTGTATATATCTGGGTGATCTTGTGTTGAGTATGTATATATTTATGATTGTTATGTTTCTTGTGGAATATAATATCCTTCTTTAAATTTCTTTTTACAGTTTTCGATTTAAAGTCTCTTTTATCTGATATCAGGATAGCTATGCCCACCTGCTTTTGGTTCCATTTGCATTTGCCTGCTATATCTTTTTCCAACCCTTCACTTTTTTTTTTTTTTTTTGACAGGCAGAGTGGACAGTGTGAGAGAGAGAGACAGAAAGAAAGGTCTTCCTTTTGCCATTGGTTCACCCTCCAATGACTGCTGCGGCCGGCGCACCGCGCTGATCCAATGGCAGGAGCCAGGTGCTTCTCCTGGTCTCCCATGGGGTGCAGGGTCCAAGCACTTGGGCCATCCTCCACTGCACTCCTGGGCCATAGCAGGGAGCTGACCTGGAAGAGGGGCAACCGGGACAGAATCCGGCACCCCGACTGGGACTAGAACCCGGTGTGCCGGCGCCGCTAGGCGGAGGATTAGCCTGTTGAGCCACAGCACCGGTCCCAACCCTTCACTTTCAATATGTGTGTATCTTTGTTTGTGAAGTGAATTTCTTGTAGGCAGTGTATACTGGAGTTCTAATTTGTTACCCATTTATTCAACCTAAGTCTTTTGTTTGTTGAATTTAATCCACTTATATTTTTTAAAGATTTATTTTATTTATTTGAAAGAGTTACAGAGAGAGGCAGAGAGAGAGAGGTCTTCCATCCACTGGTTCACTCCCCAGATGGCCGTAATGGCCAGAGCTGGGCCAGCCCGAAGCCAGGAGCCAGGAGCTTCTTCTGGGTCTCCCACGTGGGTGCAGGGGCCCAAGGATTTGGGTCATCCTCTACTGCTATCCCAGGCCATAGCAGAGAGCTGGATCGGAAGAGGAGCAGCTGGGACTAGAACCGGCGCCCATATGGGATGCCAGCGCTTCAGGCCTAGGCTTTAACCTGCTGCGCCACAGCACCAGCCCCTAATCCATTCACATTTAAGGTTAGCATTTATAGATAAGAAATAAGATCTGTCATTTTGTTGCTTGGATAATGATTCTACCTGCTCTGGTGGTGACATGTGTTTCATGTTTACTTCTAATGCAAGATACCCTTCAGAATTTCTTGTAGGGCAGTCTGGTTGTGGCGAATTCTCTAAGGTTTTACTTATCAAAAATTTTTTTTTCTCCTTCACGTTTTAAGGATAGTTTGACTGGATATAATATTCTTGGGTGGAAATTTTTTCTTTTAAGACATTGAACATATTATCCCACTCTCTTCTGGCCTGTAGGGTTTCCACTGAGAAGTCTGATGTTGATTTAATTGGTTTTCCTTTATATATAACTTGACACTTTCCTCTTGTCTTTAGGGTTCTTTCCTTGACAATTTGATAACAGTATGCCTTGGCGAAGACCTTTTTTGTTTGAATCTACTTAGGGTTCTTTGAGCTTCTTGTATATGAATGTTCATGTCTACAAGAAATTTTCAACTATTATTTCATTAAGCAGGTTTTCAATGCCTTTTTCCTTTTCTTCTCCTTCAAATATTTACTGTACTGTACTGATCACTTACTGTTATCCAATATTTCATGCTGACTTTCTTCATCCTTTTACTATATTTTTATCTGATTGTATTACTTCAAAATTCTTGTCACTCTTCCCTTTGGTCTATTCTGCTGTTAAAGCTGTCAGTTGGGCTTTTTGTTATTTTTGTTTTCTTTGTTTTTCACTGATTGAGGATTTCATCTCCAAAATTTCTATTTGGTTCTTCTTCATGAGTTCCATCTCCTTAGTAATATTTTCATTCGTATCACTCATTGATTTCCTTATTGCATTTTCTGTCTATCTGTATTTCTGTATTCTCTTGAATCTAACTGAGCTTCCTTACAGTAATTATTTTGAATTATACATCTGTCATTTCATAGATTTTCTTCAGTTCAGGATCTAATTCTGGAGGATTATTATTTTTTTTGGAGGAGTCACGCTACCTTGCTTTTTCATCTCTCCTGTGTCCCTACATTGATGTCTGCCTATCTGGTGTACTCATCCCTTCTTCTTTATGGAGTAGGTTTTATTGGAAAAGAGTTTTTGGTTTAGCTGGAATATAGGGTATAACTTGGCTCGTTGCTTTAGCTTTGATTCTGAGTGAGCCCAGGAGTATAGTCTCTGACTTCTTCTGTCTTAATCAGTGTCAGCTATGTCTTCAAGTGCCACAGTGATCTAGTCTGCTGCAGTTTGTAGGGATAGAAGTGTGGCTTTGAGATAATTACCTCTACAAATAATGAAATTTTAAAGGCTAAATGAAAGTAATATTGGAGGACTGCTTAGATCATACACAAAAGTAATAAAAATAGACTTGCCAGAAAAAAATCACACCCCCAACATACTTTTTCAAAGATTTTTTTATTTATTTAAAACGCAGAGTTACAGAAAGAAACTAAGAGAGGGAGAACAAGATCTTCCATCTGTTGGTTCACTCCCCAAATGGCCACAATGGTTGGAGCTAGGCTGGCCCGAAGCCAGGAGTCAGGAGCTTCTTCCAGGCCATCTTCTACTGCTTTCCAGGAATATTAGCAGGGAGCTGGATCAGAAGTAGAGTAGCTGGGACTTGAACCAGCACTTGTATGGGATGGCAGCACCGCAGGTCACCACAGCACTAGCCCCCATCACTTCCCACACACTTTTGTGTGTCAGCATGTTTTCATTATTTATTCTAAGAATTATGGGATAACTATTATTACAACCTGAATTTCTGAAATATAAACTAAAATAAGTTTATTTTCATAATTTACATTTTTATCCTCCAAGCCTTTTATACTCATTATTTACTATTAAAACTTGGTCTTCATTTTAACTGGATTTGTTACCAGCAAGGGAATTACAGTTCAATGAGCCAAAAATAAGAGTAGAAAAGCAAAGTTTATTTTTAAAAAATTTATTGTATTTATTTGAAAGAGTTACAGTGAGGGGTAGAGACAGCAAGGTTTTTCATCCACTGGTTCACTCCCCATATGGCCGCAATGGCCGGAGCTGTGCCGATCTGAAACCAGGAGCCAGGAGCCTCCTCTGGGTCTCCCACGTGGGTGCAGGGGCCCAAGGACTTGGGCCATCTTCCACTGCTATCCCAGGCCACAGCAAAGAGCTGGATCAGAAGAGGAGCAGCAGGGACTAGAACTGGCACCCATATGGGATGCTGGTGCTTCAGGCCAGGGCTTTAACCCGTTGTGCCACAAAGCCAGCCCCAGAATGCAAAGTTTATTAAAGTACATTCCAAGGGAGGATGGGCCAGTGGAGAGAGGATGTAGCACACTTTCTTCCTGGCTCAAAACTTTTATTCCTGAAAGATGATGGGTGTTGATTGGTGATGTGGCCATGATGCCCCTGATTGGCGTTTTTTGATTGACATCTGGGAGTTACATACTTTTGGGCATGCTAAATATGTGGATATAAACTAGACTTTTCTGGTTTGGCTGAGCTTCCATTTATGAGAATACTTTAATCACAAGTTAAACAGAAAAGTGGACAGTCTTGGATGACTGTAGGCAGAGAACAGGGTCCTTGGTTTCAACCTTGAAGGAGGGTCGTGGCCTTTCTGTCAGTCTCACAGGTCTAACTCTGCCTAACAGATTTGTTTTCATTGATATCTGGTTAACAATAAAGCTTAGATAAAAAAGATCTCCTGTCCTTTATATATATTTTCCCTCTGATTAAACTTTGTCTTACAGCAGATAAGAAAGTTGATCTGAAAAAACTGATGGACAAAGTGGAAGCTGTTATCGGTGAGAAATAAGTTACCACATATATAACTGGGTTTATTTTCCTTGAATTAAATTTTTTCTTATATGAAAGACAGACAGAGGAAGCTCCTATCCACTGGGAGCTTCCCCAAATGTCAATAATGCCCTGGCTGAAGCCCTGTCAGGAACTCAATCTGGGTCTTCCATATTGGTGGCAGAGACCCAACCTCTTGAGCCACCACCTGCTGCCTCCCTGGGTATGCATTAGCTAGAACCGGGAGCAAAGAGAATCTAGCCTTAAACCCAGGAACTCTGGAATGGGATGTAGGCATCCCAACCAATATGTTAACCAGTAGGCCAAACACTTGCCCCAGAATTAAACATTTTTTTAAAGATTTATTTTATTTATTTGAAAGACAGAGTTACAGAGAGACGTAGAAACAGAAAGGTCTTCCATCCACGGGCTCACTCCCCAGGTGGCCACAACGGCCGGAGCTGCGCCAACCCGAAGCCAGGAGCCAGGAGCTTCCTCCGGGTCTCCCACACGGGTGCAGGGGCCCAAGGACTTGGGCCATCTTCCACCGCTTTCCCAGGCCATAGCAGAGATATGGATTGGAAGTGGAGCAGCCAGGACTTGAACCGGCACCCATATGGGATGCCAGAACTGCAGGCGACGGCTTTACCGGTTACGCCACAGCACTGGACCCTTACTTAGTGTTCTATAAAAAGGATAAATACAAGGTTAATTTTAAAGGCTGGAATTGGGCCTTTTAGAAAAACATGCTTAAGTGAGAGTAATTTGTATTTTGAAGGTTACTGGAGGCAAATAAAAAATACCTCATTTAAGAAAGAGAAGAATTCTACTCTTAAAAAGCTAAGAATATCAGAGTGGTCCTTTAACTTGTTTTGCTAAGACTTTTGATTAAATTAGAACTCCACATTCATTCTTTTTCAGCCTTATAATTATCCTCTGATACGAATATTGTGAAAACTCACAGTGGAAATTGTTGAGAATAGACCTTTATGCATTTAATGAGCTTCTTATTAATAAAGTAGAAAATAAATATTATTTATAAATAAATTTAAAATACCAAATGTATAGGGTTTGGGATCTTTGCAAATATTTTATACTTTTCCTAATTTTAAAATTCCTTTTTAAATTATACTATTTGTTTATTAAATTATGTTAAAAAGAGAGAGTGACAGTTGGTCAGACAGAGAGGCAGAGATGGAGAGATTGAGCTCCTATATGCTGATTCACTTCTCAGATGCTTCCACAACTGGGGTTGGGCCAGGTCAAAGCCAGAAACTAGACCAGATCAACCACATGGTACCAGGGACACAATTACTTAAGCCATAAATGCTGCATCCCCCCCACCCCATCTGCATTACCATGAAGTTAGAGTAGTAGCCTGAGGAAGATTTTAACCCCAAGTACTCCAATAGGGGACCTGAGTGTCTCAACCAGCATCTTACCCACTGGGCCACCCTATGTTATTTCTTAGTGGAATGATTGTGTCCCAGTTCCATAGACCTTAACGTTGGCTTGTCAGCATTTTAGCAACAAAATATAGTGTCTCATTATGTTAACGAGCCCTGTAATCTAATTTTTTCCTGTTTAATCAGAGACATTTACTGAAAATATGTTACTGCAATGGAAAGGGGTTAAATTTTATTATCTCTTGATAATCTCTCACAATAAAAAGTTACAAAGATCTATTATCATGAACCCTGTTATGTTGTCCCTATTGTGGGGAGCAATCCGGACTAGACTGTTACTCGAATTAAGACTTATTCTATGCATCTGCTCTCCCACAATATGGCGCTGGGAGAGAAGTAAACAGCTTCCGCACAGCTGCCTCGAGTTCAACTAATGAGCTGTAGGACTTGCTCCTGATTGGAGGAGAGCAGCGTACTCGGCGTGTGGGCAGCCGAGTTGGGATTGGCGGAGGAGGACTATAAAGGAGGAGAGAGACGGCATGCACCAAGAACATCTATGGGGAACATCTAAGGGAACCCGTGCAGCCCCCGAGAGAACCAGCCGGCGGTGTGCCGCTCCCCTGCGGAAGTGGGGAATGCGGCCAGGGGGAACTGCCCTTCCACGGAGGTGGAAGGGATAGTAGCCAACCCGGGAAGAACCAGCAGCAAACCCGGGGAGGGCCGAGCAGACGAAAGAACAGCGCAGGGTCCTGTGTTGCTCCTCCACGAAGAGGGGGAGCGACATAATGGTGCCGTGACTCGGATAGGAAACCTAGGACGGATAGGAAACTTAGGAGGGAAGAAACGGGAAGAACAGGGAAATTACCGGAGAGAGAGACTAGCAAACAGCCTAGGGAAAAGCCGGACGAAAAGGGTGCCGGAAGAAGCTGTTGAAAGCCTAGGCATAGACTCAGATACGGACTACGGGGGGAAGCTGGGAGAAATCTCTAAGGTCGAAAGCGAAAGTGAAAGTTAGAACAAACAGACTCGGACGCGGACTGTGGGGAGAGGCCAGAAAGTGAAAGCTAGAACAAACAGACTTGGATGCGGACTGTGGGGAGAGGCCAGGAGAAATGAGGGAGGAGTATTGTTGGAAGAAAACTTAAGGAAACATACCGGGTAGAGAAAAGTGTTAGGGAAATTGAAGCCGCGGGGGGCAGGCCGAGGCGGATACGAAAGCCACTTTGGGATTCTCAAGTTAGCCCGGGAATAGGGGGCGAAAAGTTGAAACCAGAAGCTGAGACGCAAGCCAGATTGGGATCCGTCTGATTAGCCCGGGGAGCAAAGGACGGGAAGCCAAACCGTGGGGCGGAGACGTACGCTGGGTTGAATTCGTCAGGCTAGCCCGGGGAACTTAGATTGAATCCTAGTGGCGGACACGTAAGCTACGCTGTGTTACTCGCGGAAGCCGCCGCGTGCAGAGAGAGCACGGGGCGTGAGTAGATAGGGAACG